TTCGTTTATTCCCCACCTCACGGGTTTATTTGGTAAAGCGCTGCACTGGTATCGCAGAGGTCATGGGTTCAAACCCCGTACAGGCCCAAATTTTTCTTCAGGCCTTATTTTCAGTACTGTTCAAATAGTGTTCATTACTGCGATGTTCGCTTTTATAGTTACGTCTTTATCCGCAGTTCAAATATATGACTTTCATATATTCACAACATGATTTCTCGTGCAATTTGGTGTGAATGAGCAAGAGTACAATTTGTAGTCTTTGAAAACCTTACAAGGGCTTGTTTACACTGCATTGCACGAGAAACCATGTTGTTACTTGCTGATAATTTACATGAAAAACGCATCACAAAAAGTCAAGACGGACGAAATATTAGCAAAGCGCACGCGTAATCTGTAATTTGCACTCGTCTTACATGATAAATGCACTCCTTTTGTAATTGTAATTTTTTTCATGTATGCTATTACTAATAGAGTTGTTATCAAGCTGTGACGTATAGTTTATTTAAACCTCAAAGCACGTTTATCGTGATTCGTGCAACTAAAAGATACCGAAAGCCTGAGCTGCAATCCAAGCGCTATCTTAAAACATTTATTCACGCTCAATATCAGTTTATTCAAACAACAAAGCATGTTTATTATGACTCATGAAACTGAAAGAGAAGCAGAGAGGCTGCAATCAAAGTTTTATTTGAAAAACTCCCAATGTCGCTTTTAGAGTTAACATTATAGCCATTGCGATCTTTAGGACCTGGCATCTTCGAGCTAGCTAGCTCGAGCACGCCGCTCTAGCGCGCACTGTGAAGCGGAACTTTGCCGCCCGCTGTTGTTTGAAATTGAACAGCAGAAATACGAATAAAGGTACAAACAGTTTTCAAAATGGCGTCTGAAAATGCCACTTTGAACGCCACTGAGGCTCTGCGTCCACTACGTAATGAAGTCGGTAATTTCTTTTTGTTTGAAGATGAAGTGAAAACAGCTCTCACTTCAATTTTTGAAAAACACTTTGTGGGCCAAAGCTCTTTGAAACGAGCTAAGATGTCACGAATTCCAGCCTAAGCACTCCTCGAAGGAGAAGCCGGTAAAGATGTGGCTAAACATGCTCCATAGGCGCCTCAGTCCAAAAAATGAAGGCCCGAAGCGCTTGGACCGTAGAGTTCAAACGGGCGATGTCCTCGGAAATTTTTTCCTTAATTTTTCAGAATGTAAAAAAAGCCCTTTCCGCTTATGGTGTTTCGTACAAAGAAGAAAAACACACAGGTGTAATCTACTATCACCGAGAGAACAGACTTATTCGAGATTTTGCCAAGTTATCTGAGCTAAGCAGTGATTCAGTCCGAGAATTCCTAATGAAGAAGAGTAAAGGAACAAGTAAAGGAACTTCAAAAGTTTCCATAAGTTCTGAAACGCCTTTCACCATCACATCTATCAAGAGGACACAACAAGTAGTGGTGAAAGCCCACTACAAATTCACTAATGAATTTGGCTACACCTTTTCGTAAGCATATAAGTAATGAGAGCTAGACTGAATGGAGTATATTTCAGGCTGTTTGTAATTATAAGTTGTCCTAACATTATGCACTCG